ACTGTCTACAAATAGTCTTGTTAGTAAGCAACCAAAACTATACATTTGAAGTACAAATTGCTAAGTTTACAAATTTTCCTTCTTTTTCTTTTTTCTTTTTTTTTTTCATTCTTTCTTTTTTCTTTCTTTTTTTAAAAAAACAAACAAAAGAAGAAAACAAAACGGTTTTGGGGGTAATGTTTTGAAGATCCCTTTACCTATGCTGGGCCAACTCTAATGAATCCATGTGGGAATTAAATTATACTTGCTTTTCTTGCTATTTAAGACAGTCTCATACAGTTCAAATTGCAGATTTAGGTACAGCCAAATCAAAACATTGTCAGATTTTATGGAAGCTAATTCAGCGGATTTTAATGACTCTTATCAGGCAAATTATCACAGGTATTTGAACATGATTTAAAAAGTTCACCCTTGTTTTTGAGGCTAAAAGGTTGTATAAATAAATAAAAATAACATGAAAGTTGTCTCTCACATTTTTAAATACTTTCACTTTGCCCACATCTTAAACTGCAGTTGAGGTTGGTGCCACAGTGGGAGTTCCATGCAAGCACTGAAATCCCTTCTGTAATGAGTTTACATTGTAGAAACTAATCTTTTATGTATCAGTTAGAATCTGTCTTTTCTCATCAGCCTGAAAGCTTTTGCAGTTAGCTTATTTGCTATGCACCTTTTCAGTTCTTTGTAAACAGCTGTATCTGTACATAGCAGTAGCAAATTTTTTTCTGTCAGAATTCTAATAAAAGTTATGTTCTGTTACTGTTATTAATAAGCCTTAAAATGAAAAATATCTTTGGTAGAATTAAAGCCAACAGCCTCCGTTTATCAGGGAAAAAAACCACCCAGACCTGTGTAATCTCTGAAAATTCAAATCAACTTTGAGAATCTCCTTCAGTGTTATGGAATGGAGGGCAATGGGGTTTAGTACTGTTTTAAAAAATCTTATATGGGACAGAAGCAAGTAATACTATAATACTGGGATTTTTTTTTTATTATTACTGTCATCATGGAAGCCAAAAGTATTAGGTGTTGTATAGGATTTAAAAGTAACAGTTTTCTGTGTTTTCTACTTTGTGTGTATCTGAAAATCATACCTATTTCTTATGAAGACAAAGGATTTCTTGTATTTTTAGGGCTCAAGTCTTATCTTGCTTCTCAGCACTGTACAAGGTGAGCTACCTTTTAAATTTTCTCAATGTAAAGAAACCACATCAGCAATTTATGTACAGTAATATAATCTTTCTGGGAATGCAGCAGGCATTTAAGCTTTCTTCTTACAAAGTTACTTTACTACCAGTTTGTTACAAAGAACGAGTAGAATCAGCACAAATACTGTCAGAACTGTTATTTGGTCAAAGCTTTGACAAAGCAAAATATTAATAAACAGGAATGGCTATATACACGCATTTGAAAATTGGAAGTAATATTTGCATGAACGGAGCAGCACATAAACAGGGTGATTTTTTTATAGTTTTAAAAGTTCTGTGGTGAAACCAGTATTCTTCCTGCTTTTTTGGAGGTTGTTACCAAGTAGCTATGTCCCTACCCGAAGAGGATGTTATTGTACCTTAAAATACATTATCAAATTCTCGATCCGGATTATCTTCACCTCCTCCCCCTCTGGCAGTGAAGGAGGATGGGGAGTGGAGGTTGTGGTCATTTCATCACACATTGTCTCTTCTGCTCCTTCCTCCTCAGGAGGGGACTCCTCACACTCTTCACCTGCTACCTTGTGGGGTCCCTCCTACAGGAGACAGTCTTTCACGAACTCAACACAAGTCCTTTGCATGGGCTGTGGTTCATGAACTGCTTCAGCGTGGGTCCTTCCCACGGGGTGCATCCTTCAGGAACAGACTGCTCCAGTGTGGGTCCCCCCACAGAGTCACAAGTCCTGCAGTACGCCTGCTACAGCATGGGGTCCTCTCTCCATATGGCCACAGGTCCTGCAAGGAGCCTGCTCCAGTGTGGGCTTCCCACAGGATCACGGCCTTCTTTGGGCATCCTGCTGCTCCAGCATGAATCCTCCATGGGCTGCAGGTGGATATCTGCTCCAATGCCTGGAGCACCTCCTCCCCCTGCTTCTTCACTGACCTTGATGTCTGCGGAGTTGATATTTTCACATGTTCTCACTCCTCTCTCCAGCAGTTTTCTTTTCCTTCTTCTTAAAGATATAATTGCAGAGGTGCTACCACCTATCACTGATGGGCATGGGCTTGGCTTTGGCCAGTGGTGGGTCCATCTTAGAGCCAGCTGCAGTGACTCTTTCAGACATAGGGGAAGCTTCCGGCAGTTTCTCAGAGAAGCCCCCCCTTTAACCTCTCTTCCCCACCCCTCGCTCACATTCCCCTTTCCCCCCAAAACAAAACCCCAAAACAACAACAAAAAAAAACCCTTGCAGTGCAAACACAATACATTCTTTGTGGCTGGAAAATTCATGCTGGAAACTTTTCCAATACTTTCGTATAACTCTATCTTCTTAAAGAGCTGGAATGGTTTTCAGAGCTCTCCAAAATATTTCAGATTCTTGATTGATGAACGTGTTAATAATACAATGTGTGCTAATGTTATAATGCTTCCAATTTTAAACTCTCCTTTGACTTTTAGTCTAAATTGGTTTTATTCTTATTTATTCTTTTTAATCCTGTCCTGGATGGTCATTGTAAAAAAAAATAAATTGATTAAATATTCAGAATATTTGATAAAAATCTTCTGAGCTGATTTTGGAGAAGATAACTTTTTTTAAAAAAAAAAATGTTCTGGATATTTCTTCTGGTTTTACTTTTTCTCTCAAAACTGGTATTTGACTAAAGGAATAGCATACATATATTGACTTAAGTTTCTTAAAAATCTTCTGTATTTTCTGAGAATTGGAGATTAGTTTTTAGAAGGTTTAGGTTTGCTTGAAAGATATTTTGCCCCCAGAAATGAAAACAGACTTGTTTCCAAGGCATTAGTGAACTTCCTTGCAAGCAAGTGCTTAAATTTAAATTTATTCATGCCTAACGAGTAGAACTTCAAATATCCATTAGTCTTAACAAGTGGTAAAGAAAATAGATTAAGATTAAAAAAAGAAAACATTATGAAGGCAAAGGCGTAGGGCAGCAAAGCAGAAGTAATTTCCACTCTTGTACTTCAAGAGCCTGCAAAAAGGAATTTTGAGAGGCAGACTGATATTCCAGGCTTTGCAACAATGGTTGTTTAGCTATTTGTTGTGATTAATTGCTTAAATCTTTTCCTGTTTGCCAGTGGGTTCTGACAGCTGTTTATGTACTTTTCATTTGTCAGATAGAATGGGTAAACAGTTTTTGGTATGTGTATTGTTTGCAACATACTTGCTTTATTTGTTATGTGAGATATTTGTGTTGTCTATTTGTTTACCCAGAACAGTTTGAAAAGCAAAATAATGAACAAAAGGAAAAATCACAGCTGGCCCTGATGTTTGTTCCTTCAGTATGTATTGTTTCTTACAAAAAGGCATGGATATTCTTGTGAGCATCAGTTACTGCTGGACACTGAATACAGCAAAATGGTGTTAAAATATGAGTGAGAATACAGGAAGATGGTGATAGCAAAATACTTACTAGACTAAATTCTATCACAGATGTGAAGCTTGGGGAGACAGAGGGTGGTAGTGTGACTTGATTCAGAGAAGTCAAATGGTGGTGTGGTTTTTGGTTGGGTTTTTTTTTAGTTGTTTCTTGGTGTGTTTTTTTTTTTTGGGGGGGGGAGGTCCTTCTTCTTAAATGAGGATGTTCTGTGTACTGTGACAACTGAGACAAGAAACCTTACAGAGATATTGATGCTGGAGAGAATGCGCTGTTTTCCAGCCTGCTCTAAGTAGAACTGAACCTTCAGTTCTCTTTAATAATATATCAAGTAAAAGTATGGAGGTAGGTCAGAAAGCCAAATAAAAAATATTGATAGGATGTCTTTTCTTGATTTTGAAATACATGTGAAGCTTTTAACATAAGACATAAGGTGCTTTCTTCCTTTATATTTCTGCATCAGAAGTGCGGATGAAATGCCATCTGAAAGTAGCATTATTGATTTATTTTGGGATAGTAAAAACTCATAGCTCTTGGCTTTCTGCTAGCAGTCATGTTAAAACACTTAGGGAATTAAAAATCTTTTACAACAGTCTTTCTATATCTTGATTCTCTAGACTGAGTAGGAGGTAAATATCAGTGGGTAATAACAAAGCAACTACCTCAAAGAGCTGCCAAACAGCATTACGTTTTTAAAAATTGTTACTGATTTCAAATGTTGAGTCAGATAAACCACTTTTCCTGTTGATGTATATCATGGAGATGTGTAAAACCTGAAATTATCTTTGTGTTCACCCAAAGTTTCTTGTACTTGCTGCTAAAGTCCATAGAGATATTGCAGTTTGGGTTATTTTTCTATTATGTCATGTCTGTGAATGCCATATTCCTTAAATGTTCCATAGACTTCATGAAGAATGTAAGCCTAAATAGAATATGAAAGCTATGTAGCCTTATTAGAGGTCAGCCTCAGTAGTTGTTTTGTAGGAACCCATTTGCTAAAAAAAAACCACCCAAACCCCAAAACCCTGTAAATCTTCACCCCACTCATCATTTTCACTTCAAATGATTAAACAATGTGAAGAGAACTTACAGGTCATGACTTTGCAAATGAGCTTGTTTGCATTTTGTACCTGCAGTATTCATATAGCATGGGAAAATACATCTTTTCCTATGTCTAGTCCTGCTTCATGAGGATCACAGTGTCAAATTATATACTATGTGCATTTTGACTGAAGAACTAGAGATGGAAATAAGTTACTTTTTTAAACTTTGGCACCTTCTCATTGGTATGCAAGTTTAGTGTGTAAGTTTGGAACTGATTTTAAGGTTCTAATTAGTCTCTAGAGCATTCATGTGGGCAATAGATTGCTCATTAGTCTATCAGCTTTCCATTATGGTAATTGGCTATTTCTCATGTCTAACGCGGAAACTGAAACGATACGTTAATTTGCCTTCCAGATGTTGCAACTGCCTGTCCAGATAAGAAGTCCATCTTAATGTACGTGACTTCTCTGTTCCAAGTTCTGCCCCAGCAAGTCACTATGGAAGCCATCAGGGAGGTGGAGATGTTGCCACGACACTCAAGGGTCACTACAGAAGAGCACATACAAGTACATCATCAACAGCTTTTTTCACAAGAAGTGAGTTGTTTCACTTTTCTGCTTTCATCTTGCTCCTCTAAGGTGGTTGTTTCCCTTACCTACCCCATAAGTTTGATGTTAGATGGCCAATGGAAAGCAAAATATCAAGGGCATAATGGACAAAGTCTCCGTCACAGGCAAGTCAAATGTACTTGTCTTCATGAACTGTGCTTCTGTGCTGCTTTTCACCTTGCATGGGGCTGTTTTAAACCTAAGTATTCAGCAAATAACTGCTTTGCTCTTCTCTTTTACAGCACTGGGTGTTTTGATTGTGAAAGGGCACAAGGAAGAACACAGAAACTGGGGGAGGATTTACATTTAAACAACATTTTAACCTTTCTTAGAGAATAGCAATTGATGTTTTTTCATATTCATGAAACTTTTTTTACTTTTTTAGCATTTTGTTTACACTGACTTGTATTTTAAGACCACCAGATGACCTCTCAAAAAGTTCATGTAATATTGGAATTAATTTATATTTGCTGTGTCAGTTATGGTTTTGACTGAAATCAGACAGTGTCTGCTGAATTGTTTAGTGGATTTTAGGCCTAGTGTGCTTGTCTGAATTTAATCTGTATCTTGCTTTTGGGATGCTCAGTCTCTTTTAGAGTACTGAGCAGATGAGTATTGGCTCTTTTATTTAGGATGTACTACAAGATCGCTTGTCTTCTGAGTCTTTATATAATAATAATTTGCAAATTATAAAGAACCTTTGATTTACATTGGTATTCTGCTAGTATTGAGTCCTGATAGTTTTTTTACTTTTGGAGAGGATGTCAGATTAAATGAGAATTTTTCTTAATACCATCCCAATTTTGACTGCTGTATAGCAGCACAGTCCTTGAAAAATATAATTGGTGATGACCTTCTTACTACTTTTATTTCAGTTACACTTATATTCACTGCTTTACTCCTATAAACCATGCTCCTGTCCATATATTTTTTCTTTCTACCTCTAATTTATTCTTTATAGATCACAGTCAGTGTACCCCAGAGACCTGCACCTTCTCCTCAACCACGGTTCAAAAGTTATGCATATACACAAGCTGTGTATGTCACATCCCCTGACCAAAAAAGGAGGCAGGTTCCTCCACAGGTCTGTCAATATTGTCATTTCTTTTAAAGCTTTATTAAGCTTTTGCTTGGAGTGAAAATGTTTGTACATTTTGCTTATATCTGATCTTGATCTTTTTTCAGCTTGTTTTTTTTTTTTTTTTCATTAGCATCTGTCTAATCTGGTTACTTTTTGCTGTATATTTCAGCATGGCTGGCAGTAGGTGTTTTGCTGATTGTTAGGGATGAATAACATTCAAACATGGCTGGTTTAGAATCATAAACTGCTTCCTTTTTTAAGTCTTGTTTTTTGTTGGGTTTCTTTTTTTTTTCTGAATAGCACAAGTATTGTCTTGAATGACTATTAGAGGAGCAAACCAAACACAGGCTATATTTGCCATCCAATTACTATATTTCTGTCTCAGGTTTGATTACAGAAAACCAGGAACCATTGGTTTTCTCTTGCTTTTCCTAACCCTCATATCTGTTAAAGAAAATAAGTGCTGACATTTCTCAGAAGGTTACTGTAGATGGAAAGAAGGGAAAGGAAACAATAAAATGAATATTCCTTATATGACCTCGATTATTAGCTTTTAACAGCTAGTCATTTTATCACAAATAGCATCATGCCAACATTCAGGTTAGGGTTTTGTGTTTGTTTTTTTTTTACCTTTAAATAGCTGTGATTGTTTAATAAAACTTGTTTCAAGCAATCCTTACAATGAGCATTTCAGTAGTCAGATTTTTATAATTTCTGACAAGTGTGAGAGCCAAAGGTCATATTGTGTAATGCAACAGGCTTTCCCTTCATTACTTTGGGGAAAAGGCATCTTCATGCATTTGGCACTACAGTATGAGTTTGTTTGTGAAGACTAAATTCTGCCTAACCTCTAAAAATTTATTGCAAAATTGCTCTTCAACAGTATGTTTCTAAATCTACTCTTCAACTGACGGGTATTTTCCTGAGTAATCACTTCGTTTAAATACTCCAGGAAATAAATCCTGTGCACATAAGCATGAGCCCTGCTGCATTATCCTAACATCAAACATGTTGCGCTGATGACTAATGCAGCTTTTAAACAAGGTATTTTAAGACTGGTATAATTGACTTGTTAGAAACTATACTGATACTATACTGAAAATTAGTTAGTATAGTAACTTAGATACTACACTGATAATTGAGAAGAATGAAAAGTCGTGATATACTATAGCTTTATGTTTTCAGGGTCTGTAGGAAATTCTGTGAACTGTTAGTTCACATTTGTATGGCAGGCAGGTCTGTATATTTATCTGGAGTAGTGACCTTTGAAAAGGTCAGATTGCCTATATCTACTAATCATTAAAGTGATGATTTCTTTCTTTCCCCCAGTGATTTTGATTCAATAGAAACTATATTGTCATACTTGTGTAGAATGCTCTTACTCTAAGATACTGCCACATGTACTTTGTAGTTTTGGTGTGCATGTACGTACTGGAAGTATGCAAAGGAAGGCATTCATAGATTTTCCATGTTCATTCTAAACAGCAAAGGCATTTCTCTATATGTATACACAATAGCATTAAGGAATTTTGCTTTATCATTTTCTGGGATTCAGAAATGTTCTAAGCAACATTAATATGGGTGTGTTAGCCTAAGGTGAATAGTGAGCTAAGGAGAAGTAGGAAAAGATGACACCTTTTAAAAGAACGTTTGTATTGAGGCAGGGGGGAGCAAACACTTTTTTAGATGTTCAAACCTTCTTCAGAATTTTTAGTCCTGAAAGCACAAAAAATATAACAAAAATGAGAATGTCAAAAATACAAAAAAAACCTATAGAACAATATGGAGTTTGGAATTTAGCCACACTCTCTATAGAAAGCATTTGTTTTATTTGAACTATGTTTAGCTGTAGCAAAGAAATCATACATATATTTTGATGGAGTAAAGCATCCTTAAAAATGCAAAGGGAAATTTCATTTGCCTGACAGTGATGTCATTAGAGCAAAACCAGTAATTTAAATAAACTGTGGGTGATGTACTGAGGCAGCAAGATTTAAAAAACAAATATGTATTTTTTTAAAAGGTAGAAAACAGAATTTTGCTTATTGTATTAAAAGTTCAAAGTTATTAAAAGAAAAAAGTACCACTTGTAGAATGATTTCCGCAAAGTGATTTGCAAGTCATTTGGAAAATACATTAAAGTATGTTTGCCTCACAAGCATGAATAAGACATAAAAATAAAGTTCATGTTTTATATGTTACTGTTCAAGAGAATCTTTTAACTTTAAATTACAGCTCCCATTAATGTAAGGTTGATATTTCTTCAGTCTAGGAGAATATAAAGTAAGTTTTTATACCTTTCTTTTTAAGAGAAGGTCTTCTGTCTGTTAGTTTGAAATGTTTTTCGTGTGCTTTGGTCAGTGGAGAACATATCTCAAGTTAATCTATTTGCACAAATATAACAAATGTAATATTGATTTGTCTTCATACCGTATTCTGATCCTTTTCTTCTGGAGCATAAAGAAAGGAGTTCCAAAAAGGAATTCTGTTGTCCGTCAGAAACAAGCAATAACCCTAAAATAGAAAAGGGAGAAGGTGGAGACAGTGAGAGTAGATATAAGAAACTCTGAAGATATTCCTTCCTTTGATTAAACAAACAAACAAACAACAACACCTCAACCTAAAAAAACCCAAACAAACAAAAAAATCCCAAACCCATTCACAAAGCATCGTGCAAATACAGATTGTGTCAGGAAGGGCATCAAGTATAGAGGGCAGCAGCTTCAGATGCAAGTCAAAGACTATCAGTGAGATAAGGGAGGACAAGATGAAAAAAGAAATTGACTGTCTGTTATGGGATTAATAGCAGAGGTGTACTATGTGTGTGTACTATGCTTCTACACAGTTTGTGCTGAGGTGGTATTTTATTCAGTATAGCCTCTTGGCTATTTGTTCCATACACTTTACATTTTGTACAATTAACAAGCGAATTTCATTGTTGAGGTGTGATACACGTAAGGAAAGAGTAACATTTTAATTATTAATTTTGACCTTTTATTTATATAGTCTAGGGAAAAGAGCTTGTTTTTTTCCCTCTAGTATAATAGCATCTTCATTACAGAATAAGCAAGTTGAGTCTCATTGCATAAAACATGGCAAATTTAAATATGTTTCATTTCATTGTAACTTTTGTATGGTGATCATTTAATCAAGTTAGTAGCATTCCACTAATTAGGATTACCTTTCTCAAGGCTGGGAAGGGGACTGAGAGATAAATCAAGGTTGGTGGTACATTGCCAGAACTCAGGGACTTCTGTTGCTTTCTTGCATGTCTTTTTTCTCTGGGGATAGGAATTGCTGCCTTTCCCTTTCATAGAATCATAGAATAGTTAGGGTTGGAAAGGACCTTAAGATCATCTAGTTCCACCCCCACCCTGCCAAGGGCAGGGGCACCTCACACTAAGCCATGTCATCCAAGGCTCTGTCCAACATGGTCTTAAACATGGCCAGGGATGGAGCATTCACTGCTTCCTTGGGCAACCCATTCCCTTGCTTCACCACCTTTACAGTAAGGAACTTCTTCCTTATATTTAACCTAAACTTCCCCTCTTTAAGTTTTAACCCATTACCCCTTGTCCTATCACTGCAGTCCCTAATGAAGAGTCCCTCCCCAGCATCCTTGTAGGCCCCCTTCAGATACTGGAAGGCTGCTATGAGGTCTCCACGCAGCCTTCTCTTCCCCATCCTGAACAGTCCCGACCTTCTCAGCTTATCTTCCTACGGGAGGTGCTCCAGTCCCCTGATCATTCTCATGGCCCTCCTCTGGACTTGTTCCAACAGTTCCATGTCCTTTTGATGCTGAGGACACCAGAACTGCATAATAGCCCAAGTGAGGTCTCACAAGAGCAGAGTAGAGGGGCAGGATCACCTCCTTTGACATGCTGGTCATGCTCCTTTTGATGCAGCCCAGGATATGCTTGGCTTTCTGGGCTGTGAGTGCACACTGCCAGCTCATGTTCAGTTTGTCATCAAAACCCTTTGAGTCAGCCCACTCCAGAAGCATTTGTTATCATCTGATAGCCATCCAGTGGCCCAGTTAATCAGATGATGATTTTAGCTCTTCTCTAGAAAAAAAGCTCCATTATCACAAGTGCATAATTGTTTCTGCTTCTTTTCCAGTTCATTTAAGTTTTCATTGTTACTTTTTTGATTGTGCAACTGTTCTGTTGATTCATTAAGACGTATCAAGAAGGTTATGAATGCCTAGCTTTTTGTTAGAAGTGGATTCTTTACTGTTCTGGACAAACAGTTATGGGTTATACAGTTAAAAAAACAAAACCAAAAAAAAAAAAGCAACCCACAAAAACAAAGAAAGTAGTTTTGATCATTTAAAATGTACTACAGTTTCTATCTCAAGTAGTCCCAGTGAACTGAATGACAAAATACTTTTTGCAATTTCAAAGCAGAAGTGCGATAAAGAGACTCAAGTATAAGGGCTACACTTTGAAATGTTTGTAGGCTTTGCATATTTGTTGCATTTAATTTATCCTCTTCCTTTGTCTTATTTGACTCCAGTGGTATAGTGCTGGTCACCTAATGCAATAAACTTGTAAGAGTGAACTCTATAATGTGTGAGCTTTGGACTCTTTCATATGGAACCAGTGGTCCATCTACACTGATCAGCTGGACAGAACAGTGCTGCTGGCTGAAATACTTGAAGAATTTGTAGGTGGTGTTATTATATGCAACTCAGTTTCCTGGTAAATTGTACAAAGATGTTTTGCTAGTGGTACATGATATCAACAGGAACTATTTAGTTTCGATTATCTGAAGTAAGAGGCATGCATTTTTTAATTCAACTTGAAAAAATATTTTCTCATTTCACTGCTATAAAAGTTTGAAAGAAGCAGCAGAAAATAACTTTTTATTAGAAAAGAATACTGTCTTTTAAAGCAGAAGTGATTTGTGAGAATCAGAGTCATAGAATAGTTAAGGTTGGAAAGATCCTTAAGATCATCTAGTTCCAACCCCCCTGCCATGGGCAGGGACACCTCACACTAAACCGTGTTAACCCAAGGCTCTGTCCAACCTGGCCTTGAAAACCACTAGGAATGGAG